TTAGGAAAGTGCTCAAAAAACATTTTTTAAATACTCTCATATCAATAATTATTTAAGAACATATTTCGAAAGTGCTAATACTGCACTTCATAACGGTATTACAAAAACAAGCGCAAAATAAGCATTTTAGTAGCACATGATTTACATGTTTAAAAACAACAGCTTAAAAAGTGCACAAAAAGTGCAACATTTTCATATATATTTTTAATGTGCTTGAAACGCGTCTTGTGTATGCTGCATGCCAGCAAGCTCATATAAAAAGTAGAAGAAGAAATTGAAGTCGTTTGACAGTTGACACTGTTGACAGTTGAGCGTCGGCCATTTGCCATAGCTCGTGCAATCGACCAATCAGGACCACACGAGATTCGTGAATCGTAGTGCTGATTTCTGTTTTGTTTTACATCACATCTCACATCGTTGATCTTGTAATCGTAACGGTAAAGTAAATCTAAATATATTTTTGTTTTCCTGTTGGAAGTCGTGTTTGTGAATCCTGCATTGAAATGAATTCAAAGTATCAATTATTATAATATATTGTATTGCATGCGTACTCCATCTCTGTATTTAACATTTTATATTTTTTGTTTGAAGAAAAATGGCGTGTTCTTTTGGATTATTTTACGCCTTTCTAGTAGGTATTATAATTTTGCCAATTGCCTCTTAAAAGACATTTATTCTCTTTACATGTAAAATGTACCAGAATTTTCAGAACAAAGGGTTGTGTTAAGAACCCGGCTAAACATGGTATAATGTGAATAATGTGTTAGGACAGCAACTTGTTAGAAATGAATGGTTTTTAATGCAGATTACAAGAGTAAAGCTTTTTTTGAGATGGCATTAGCCTAATCCGAACGCAGTTCAGCCCTCGGGCTCTGCCATGTACATCTACCATGTACAATTAGCCTTATTGTACTGCCCGTTGGTACTGCCATGTACATTTACTCTATGTCATTGATGATGTGAACATACACATTGAGAAGCCATATTTTACATGGCCCAGATCAGAACGATTCTATTTCACAAAAACTCTAGTTGCATTCTTTTTAGTATTGAAAATACTTCTGGCCGCGTTTATATGGGACCCATCTTTGAAAAAACGACATGCTAGAGGCGACATGGAGTTCAATAACCTGCCTAATCAACTTGTCAACACGTAAGTCGATAGCTGAATAGACCAAGGTCGTCCTAGGGCCGAAATGAGGTCTTATTAGTGTGAGCCAACTATTTTATGGATATGGATGATTAGTCTGGGAAAGCCGATATTATTATAAAAAGAATATGCGTCAAGGCATGCATGGGTTGTTAGGTACAGTGGGACTATTTTAATCTAACTCTTTCCGTATGAAAAGCAGAGGGCACATTATACGTGAAAGAGCGGAATAACATAAATAATAAATTTAGACTAATGCAATATTTTTCTTGGCGCGTAGGATAATGCGCACAATGGATGCATTAAAGGGAATGATTAATTAAATCATTAAGTTCCAAAACATATAATAATTCGGGTCTCGTCGGATCTGCTGATATATTTTGATAAAATTTAGGCTATTAGGACCTATCTTTTTTATATGATACTAATTTTTTTAATTAACAACTTAGGACAAAGAAAAAGCTTGCATGGTTTCCAGCGTCAACAGTAAAAACAAATGAATTCAAGGCGGTGCCAAATATTTATTGGGATAAGTTTTTATCGTTTAAATATTGTTGTAAATAATAATTATCATTTAATTAGTGCTAACTTATTAAATTTTACAACATAGCGAATTTTCAACAAAATCAGCCAACAAATCTTTGAGATATTAATAGGTCTATTAGAAAACACCTTGACACCCCTGTATCTTTAAAATTATACATTTCCGGGCACATGTTTATATGAACTTTTTACCTTAAAAACATTCAAAGGATCACCTCCTGAAGTTTGGCCAGATACTTAATTAACATCCTGTATAAAAAATGGCTATCTAGTGATTTAGTAAGCTTTGTTTATTTTAATAGGCAAAAAATTCATTTCATAAAAAAATAAACAAACCCATAATACAAATACTATACACCAATTAATTAATTTTAATTGTATCTAAAGGCACTTTAATAATTGAAAATGGACAGGAGCACTTAAAAATAACTTCATAGAGTATATCAAATATGCTAAAAATAATAATTCCAATAAAAACACAAATGGCACATTAAAATCTGCATTATCTGAAATCAAACTATAGCTAAACGGCTAATAAAATAATAGAGACAAGACGCCGACATCTATAACAAGATGAGCAGTTTTAATAATTATTCCGAGTTATTATTACATACTTGTTTTACAATTATTGTAATACAATAGCATTCCTTCAAATAAATTTTGATTTAAGTATTGTTAATATAGTCATATTAATGATTATAGCCCGTACGATTTCTAAAATAAATAATCAAGAGTGTTTTTATCAGAATTATTGTATGATTAAGTAGAAATAGTTAATATTTAGTAACTTCGTAAGTGTTATATTTTAATATAATTATGAATTTAATAATTAAATAATTATCTTAAGTTTAAATTGTGGTAAACTTGTATGAGTTTCAATCATTTATATTTAAAATCTTAGGGAAGGCAATATAGATTTTAGGCAGGAGAACTCAAGAGAACGACTGTGCAATTAGTAATTAAGACTACAATTTTTTTTTTACTTGCCATTTTCTTCTCGTTCACGTTGCACGTTGACTCTTCGTTGTGTCACACACAATCTGAATTTCGGATATGATGCAGAACTGATAAATTGGACCAAATTAATATAATTGCAGGTAATCAAAGACATGTTTTTGTTAACTTTGCAAACATTTAAGGCATGCAATAATTTTAAAAAATTTTGACATGAGATTACTTTATAATTCTTGGAAGTCTTGGATGATAAAGATTTGAATTATTATGAGTCTGTTTTGTTTAAGAAGCTAACAAATAATTTCAAAAACTCAACTATCAAAATATAATGGTAGCAAATTTTTAAAATCATGCATACGTATAATGTTCTATATTAATTGGGCATACTGAATGTAAACTAGGTATAGTTGCTGTAATCGATAATATATTTTGTTGCTTTTTCATATCACACAACATTTTCATCATAATAAAAACTGTCAATACCGCTACTCATATTATGGGCACCTATGACTTAAATATCATAATGATGTTTAAAAATACATAGGTATACTTACTATGAGTAGTGGTTGTGACGGATTTTACTAGGTATGATGAAAAGAAGCTGCAAACTAAATTATCGTCGAACTATATTTTAATTTGCCGCCGAAGTTTCCGGAATACAGTTCGGACCACCTATATATATATATATATATATATATATATATATATATATATATATATATATATATATATATATATATATATATATATATATATATATATATATATATATATATATATATATATATATATATATATATATATGTACACACATATAGTTTCTATAGTGTCGTGACCGTGATCGTGACCATTCATGAATCCGTACATGTTCATCTCCATCATTAATATTTTTCTTACTAAATTCTTCACTTTTTATAAAAAGCCATCACGATAAAAGTCAAATATCAAAATTATTTAACGTTGCGAACGGTTCATTTGTTCACTATACCTATCTGGAATATATTTGCGAATGGCAATTAGCGATACGTTAGACTGCCGGAGTGCTGACGTCACGAATGTCAAATTGCTTTCCAAACAAGCTTTAGTTCTTTTATATTTCTATTGAGCTCTTCCAAATGACGTCATAAGTTAATATAAAATGTAAAAAACAGGTGATTGCTGACCACCGCCGACTTTTGTGTCTGGTATTTTCAATACGCCTATGATGGTTGCGCATGTTGCAAAATCTGTGAATTTTTTTTAATCTAAAGGTGGGTCCATACTTAAACAATTTGGCCCGAACAAACTGAACAAGCATATCGAACAAACCAAATTCCAGATACTTATTTTTAATTGTTAAGCTGTTCAAGAAAGGGGCAATAATTAAATTAATAATAAATACACAAGGGAGCTAATAATAATAATTCTACACAAAATTCTAAGCATCTCTCCTGTACAGGGTGTCTCATTATAAATGGACCCCCCCTTTAACTTTTTCAATTGACATTTTAGAAAAAAGTGTCCTAAATAAAAGTTTAATGGTTTGAAAGAATTACTGTTTTTAAATTACTGTCTTTTGTGTATACAGGGTGTCTCAGAGAGTCGGGGCGTGGTCCAACTTTCTTATTTTAAAATAGAACCCAATTTTTTTTATTTGTTATATGGATTCTCCTAAAAATTCTTAATTTTTTTTAGCTTACCAACTGAAAAAGTTAAAGGGAGGTCCATTTATAATGAGATACCCTGTACAGGGTGTCCCATTTTCATGTGTTTTATGGGGTTTCTCGCTTATGAGCGGAGATAGAGACTTGCGGTTTTTGCAATGGGTACTTTTTGATGAAACTAAAGATTATCACAAGAAATTATTGCCGTCCTAGTTTTTGAGCTACTGGATGATTTTGAAAAAAATGCATTTTAGGCTCCCCGTATCATATTGTATCCCTCGTATCTCCGTTGTTTTTTAACTTATTGAAGAATATAAATTTCTTATAGGATTTTTTCTGTAGAATCCAGTGGTGTAGTTTGTTTTTTCCTTACTATAACCGTTTTTAGTTATGAAGCAAACATATGCATATTTTTTTTAAATGGAATTTAAGCATGTATTGCACTTATTTTTAAAAAAAAATTGCTATTGGCCAAAGTGTCTGAATGATACATATAAAGATATAAACGAAAACTAGTGGAAAGGCATGAAGATATTGGATTGAATAATATAAAATGTTGTATTGCCATAAAATACAAATCAAGTAAATAATTTAAATATGAAAAAAACAGCAATTATTTTTTTTTAGAAATTTACCAACGTGCACTTGAGAAAATGAAGTTGCTGCAAAATCAGTCAAATGTCTCCCAAACAGAGGGTTAAGAGTTTGAGATGGCAAGAACAAAGAAAAAAAGAAAGCCAAAAATCAACTCTAAATATAATAGCGATTATGAGGACAGCTCTTCAGAGGAGCTACCTCTTGTTCCGCCACCAAATCCCAAAAACAAGCCTGAGTCCATTAGAAATCCTGTGAATCCTGTGAAAACAATAATTACTTACCTAGTTTGTATTTTACCTTTTATTCAGGAAATTCATCAACTTATGGGCTACACTGTAGAAAAGGAGATCGCCATTATCACTGAGAATTCTGTAAGTATATACAGGTGTCCCACAGAGAAGCCCCCCTCTTTTTTGTCTCCATTATTTTTAAAGATCTCAATTATTTATGTTTGTTTGAAGTCTTAGCTGAGGTACTATATACAGGGTGGCTCGGTCTATACGACACGGTTACGAGAAAAACATTTTTTACGTAACTGATATGGTCAACTTTTTTTAGCAGTTACTGAACTATGATGTAGACATTCAAAAAAAAAAGGTTGCACCGGTCAAGTTTGCCAGGGATCCTGGACCTGAAGCAGAGACGAATTCTGAGGTTATGGTTTTGAGTCCTTCAACCAGTTCAGAGACATTTTTGTGCAATGGTTGCAAAAAGACCAAAGGTGATATACCTATAACAATTTTATTTTGCCCTAATACTATTATAATACTTATTGCTATTTGTTAGATCTGCTTCCAAAACTGATGGAAAAATTAGAAATGATTGCTGATGATGTTAAATATTTACTTCTTTGTCAAGCGGTAAACAAAGGAGATTACAGTCTCAGTAAACCATTTATGTCGTGCAAGACAAAAGAAGAATTGGTTAAGTTAGAGGAGTCGTTGGATGATGAGGGGGTTTTTCAGTCAACAGTAAGATATATGCTTATTATTATTTATAGATATTAGATATTTATAAGTATTTTAGTGTGTTGTTTTTCAAGCGGTGGGCGGAAAGGACATCATAGATACTACACGAAGGATATTATCAAAACTATTATCGGCTGAACTTGCCAATCAATACAATTGGACAGGGAGAAACTCGAAGCAACAGTTCTCAAAATTTCATAATATCCTGAAAATTTTACTTGGTAGGTTGTCCACATATTTTTATAGAGTTTGTTCTAAAGGGGAAGGGAGGTATAAGAATTGATTATTATTTCAGCAGCTGTAAGAAGAAACCCGCTATCCAGAAACGCAACCGCTAAGGACATCGAGCAGGTGACAAAACATTATCTCAGAAATTCCTTTGACCGAGGCTTGAACAGGGGAATTCGCTCAGAAAATTTAGATATTTAATAGTTATTTATATTGATTTATTACAAATAAATTTTGTAAAAATATTTTTGTGTATACATATTTTGTTAATATGCCTATGCTATGCTAAAATGCAGTAATTTTTAAACGTTTATAAGATGTGCTTATCGAGCGCAATAATGATGTATACCTATTATGCAAAATTGTGGTACTTTACATATATTTAAATCTAGTGCTTATCTAATGCTTTAATTAAGCACTGCAAAAGCATTACCTGTCAGTACTTCTAAACCTGCCTATTTTCCGCTTTTCGGAGGGACGCCGAGGCGCTTTCTAAGCGGAATTGGCATATACTTTATAAACACTGCAATGTGAACTTGAAGCACTTGCTAAGCAGTTTATTCGCATTTTTTGCTATCTGGGTGGTAAGAGTGTATGCCGTAGGGCTGCATTATTTCCACAGTCGGCATGTCCGCAATATATTAAAGCGATGCGTAATTTCTTTTTTGCTTTGATAATCGCCGATCGCCGATCATAACAAAAAAAAAACCAGACGACGGCGCGGCGGCGGCGACGGCAGGCGGCTTATTTGACGACTCAAAGGAAAAATGATACCTCCTACTGTTTGACCAGCGGATCTGAAGCTACGGAAGGAATTCGAGAAAAAAAAAACGATATTGTCACATTTATCTATAAAATTGCAAAATTGCCAGACATGAACTATAAATTTAATACATTTCTATTATATATAATGTGTTCGGATATATTTTTACGTATATTACTAAAGAATTTTAACGTACGTTTTTGTTCGATCTGTTTTATTTAATAACTTATTTCTTTTATTCTGTATAATCTGCTTATTATGAAAGGTAAAGATTTTCCAAGGATATCATTGGCAAGCTGGCATCGCCGACCATGGCCGCCTATTCATCGAACATGAGTGGCGCGAGTACGTCACAGGATTTGTTACCACGCGGTTGCCATGGCATTATCGCATTTATCAATTAACTGCTTTCTCGTTTTTCCGCACCAGCATCACAAAGTTGCCTAGAGAGAGTAAGCTTTTTTGGTAATTTGAACATCGTTCGTTCCACATATATGTTTATTGTGTGCCATGACTTTTAATAATGCCCCCCGCAAAAAAAAGCAGGAGCTGCATTTAGGAAAGACCTAAAGCAGAAAATTTTAACGCAAGCAGGCGCTTCTACCAGTCAAACAAATATCAAAACATTTTTTAAACAGAACTGTGTTTCGAAAAACATGTAAGCAGAAAAACCTATTATTAAATTGGATATATTTTTATTATTATTATTTTTTTATTTAAATTAAGTCTTGTTTTTATTTTAGAGAAGAGGCTTCTATTCCGAGGACCGCACACGAAAATATCGATGACGTCGACGTCGAAAACAAAAATATCGAAAAAGAAATTCCAAATAATCCATATTTGACCGATCTGACTACGGCGCACAATGGTTTATTTTTAAGATTTACGGGGACATCTGGCCATACAGTGGTGTTTTGAAAATTTCAAAATACCCTGTATATATAAAAACTAGATTAGTTGCTCACCTTAAAAGCAAACAAAAAATATTTGTTGGACAAAAAATTTCTTATAAAATAATTGGAGAAATTCGCAATTGAAAAGGTAAGCATTTAATAGAGATTATTTAATGTTATTAGATTTAAATTTTGTCGTGGTTCGAAATTGTTTTTGTGATAGGTGAAATGTTTATATTAATCCAACATGGATTTAGGTTCTTTGAGTAAGTTTTAAGCTGTTTTGGGCTTTTATCGGATAATTATTTTAAATATTTTATATAGCACTACAATTTGACCTTTTTATTTAGTTTAAAGGGATGCGAAAAATAAGATGCGCTTTCGATCTGACCAAAGTTAATTTTATTTTAAAGTCTGAACATTTCTCTTCAAAATCAATGTAGTCGCAAAGTGCGACGAGGTGCGTAACATTATTTTTTTTTAGTTTTCGTTTTAGGTGGCACTCCAGAAATCACTAGAATGCACTTATTTCATTTTTTGTTTCGCGTGCTAATTCTACTGATGTAAAAAGCAAAATGTTAAATTACATTAGTATATCATCTGTTGATGATAAGAAGGGGGTCAGAAGATTTAGGTCATAAGCAAAAAAATTCGGTGTTTTCTGGTAAATTATTTAATCGCTGGAAAAACTGCGGTAGAAAGAAAACACAGTTTCTTAAAAAAACATGTTATTTGGCTAAGTGAAGTAGTTTACAGTTCCAAACCTTCTAGTACTTATCTATATAAAGTTCTTCAAACCAAAAAAGGACTGTTATCCTTCCAATATTACAGTAACTGAGTCCAGTGCGCCAATAAATTTACAAAGTCTCTTAGATCATACCAGCATGCGCTTATGTACAACAGAATGAAGTTTTGGAGCGAGTTTTGAAGGATGGGGCTTTTAATTTTCAAACCGTATATAAATGAGGATTTGACGGCAGCTCACAACTTATAAGCAAGTTTTTCAAAATAATCCACATTGGACTGATTCCGATTTACTATTAACATCTATTGTACCATTAAAAATGACGTGTCAGACAAATTTGGGGGTAATTTGGCAAAATCCTCGAACTTCGTCCACACGTTTCTGTATTCCAATTAAATTTGAATTTGTTAAAGAAACACTTGACGTTATTAGGAAAGAAAAACGAAATCATAGAAAACTTAAACGCCCTTAAAAAACCTAACTTAACCGGTAATTACTTGTTGTCTGATGTAAATAATGTACAGTATTAGCATTTTATTTTGTCCCATTTTTGCCAGGCTATAACTTTTCTATTTTTGTATAGAACATTCATTAAAAAACAAATTTTAGGGTCTTTAGTTAAGTTTTATTGTTTATTATAATCAATAATATCATAATTTGCCAAATGTCACCGTTATTGGTATGAACTATTTTTTTTTAAATGGGACACCCAGTATGTTTAAAGTGTATTATACAGGGTGCTTCAAAAAACATGTGCCATCTCTTGTGGGGAGACTTCTCACGTAAAAATAAGATTAATTTTTCATATCAACATAGGTCCAATTCCGCTTTGTTTCGTATCTACAGGGTGTTCAAATCTTAATATTTTTTCGATTTATTATAATTTTCTTATATTATTTCTTTCCATGTACTTTTTGGCGTTTTGAATGAAATTTTCAGGGTAAAATTTACTATAAATGCGACATATTTTAAAGCCAAAAAAGTGTGGACATATTCACCAGGGACGTGCATATGGGTTATCACTGGAATATTTTCTTAAAAAATCATGTACGCCACTGACTTTTTTTGTCTTGTTAGCGAAATAGTCTAAGTAGTTTAATACCGATTAAAAGTTGTCTCTTGATATTTTGTCGATTTCGGCCTCCTTGTTGAGATAAACGCAAAACGATATCCTAATCAAAAAATATGAAAAAAAAGTTGCTATAAACATGAGTATGGAAATGCATAATTTTAGAGTTACAGGATGTTAAAATTTTTTAAAATTAGGTTTTTTGTTGTTATCTTAATAACCAATATTTTTTTATTTGAAGTTGCTGTATGTTGGATTAGTTAGTTTGATGTATTATTACTAGTAGAATAATGACATAGTAATAATATTTAATAATAAATTAGGTAAAGATTAGGGGATCGGCAAGACAAGAAATCTTGTCTTGACAAGCAATTTCTTGTCTTGTCTTGAAATATTTTCAAGAATTAAAAAAAACATCATATCCTATTCGGACAACGGGTAGACATCGGGCTAGTTCAAGTATATGTACGTCGTGCAAGCCAACGTGGGAACGACGTTGGGAAATTAATAAAAATGGTACGTTGTTATTTTGTACGTCGATAGATCGTTGGATTTACCGACTCGAATCCAACGACGTCGCTTTTAATAGGAAAGCGACGTCACCGGTCGTATCACCAGCACCCGACCTAAATTTGCACAAAGTTTGACGTCGCTTCATGTCAGATTTAGTTCGAAGTCAGATAGATGCTACTTGGGCGTTGATCCAGCTCTTTCTGTCGTAGAATTTTTTTATATAAACGCCATGAAAGCCACCCATATATCTTCGTCCTCCACAATAGAGGATATTAGGTTTTCTTTTTTAAATGGTACCTTAAAAATCCCTTTGATCTTTAATCTACCTGGTTCCTAGGCCGAGCATTTAAAAATGGTGTGACTGACATCGTCGATGGCACTTCTGCAATATTTACAGGCCTAGCTCTTTTCTTGAAACGATATAAATAGTATTCGAAAGCTCCGTGACCGCTAGATATCTGGGAAAGATAATAGTCTACCTGTCCGGGCTCTCGTTCAGTCCATCTTATATTCGGGATTAACATGTGTCCATTTTCGATCGTACGCCTCATCCCATCTTCTTTGCCCACTGTTGATATAATATCTCCTTCTATATTATATATATACGCCTCATATATATCTATATATGCCCACTATTGATATATATATATATATATATATATATATATATATATATATATATATATATATATATATATATATATATATATATATATATATATATATATATATATATATATATATATATATATATATATATATATATTTTTTTTTTCCTTTCCTTTCCTTTACTACCAGGTCTATTGGTGGTATACCTGCGATTACGAATACCGCTTGCTCCGCTATAGTTCTGTAGGCAGAAACAACTCTCAAGGTGCTCCGTCATTGAACTGATAGAAGTTTCTGTTTTTCTTTTTTAACCTCCAGTGCCTTTGCCCATATTGGGGCGGCGTAAAAAATACTGGCCTGGACCACTTCATTTAAAAGTGTCCTTTTCTCCTGCCTGGACGTCCGATGTTTGGCATGGTTCTTGCTAAAATTAGTGGCGAAATAGCCATTGTTGTCTGAGCCTTTACCACTACTGCATGTATTTGTTCTTTGAAATTCAGCTTTTTGTCAATTTGCACTCCTAGATACCTGAGACTTTTGAACCATTTGATTTCCGTCACATCCAATACAATCTTTGGATACGTAAAAGATCGCTTATCCGTTATTAGT